ACACTTTTCCACAATCAAAAATATATATGAGTATAGTCTTTGACCAGAATGAGAGTATAGTTCTTATCTATATTGGCCTAGAAGAGATCAGTATTTTCTGTCAGTCTTAGTAGCCTACACTTTGTCACTGTAGAAGAGTCTAGCTTTAAATTGGAAAATTATCAAAATTCTTTGGTCATTTTTAAGCAAGATGCTAATGGTCTAATCTGATTCAATGATTTATGCTAAGCTAAGCTAAAAGTGCTCCCACCAAATATGGAGACAGGCTGAATGGATTTTAAAATATAACTGTGCTGTGCTGTAAAATGAGCCTGTTTTCAAAAAAGTTGAGTGTTCCTTTGAGGCAAATAGGCTTGATTTATTGTTCTACCTCACATCCCTGACCTCACATGTGTGATAAGCCTGTTAACTTTAGCAAATCCCACATTAAATCCAAACATACTCTTTTATGCGATCGCTGTGTGTTTTTGTTCCTGTAGATAACTGGAGACCTGATCTTCCAGACGGCTCGCTTTATTATTGTCACCACTAAGCTGCTGAAACTCTGCAGCTGCCTGTCAATGGAAAGTTGTACACTTCACTGCAACAACTGCTCTATCGTTTTTATGACAGATATGAGACCTTACTATAAATAGACAGTTCTGACAAAAAGGAAAGTCTCAAATTACCCAGATGATCCAAAGGCTATGTATCATATTAGCTCTTGATATATACCAAACAAGAGAGCCAACAGGCCAAAAATAGATGCATCTCTTTGACACCATACTGTATACTGTAGGCTACACCATATGAAGAGCACAGAACATGCAGATTCTGTACACTGAACATTTTGATGATGTTTTATGTAATGGCATGATGGTTTGAAGGTTTAAATGTCATCCCTCTCCTTTTGTAAATTCACCCTTACAGTGTTTACCTCATTAATCATAAAAATGACAAGATGAAATCATAACTGGCAGTCGGTGTGAAGCGTGTTATGTTTACATCAGCGTGTGCATCCACATACCTCATGGATCACTGCTGTTTTGACAGTTTCTCTAAACAGAATTCCTCTAAAGCAATGGAGTGACAATATGGCCACTTGAAAAGCAGTCGACTTACTCTGTGAAACTGTGTGAGCCTCATATATATGGCCGTTTTTATCAGCAGAATTTGAATTACTCATTTTAATTTAGAGAAAGTTGATGAATATGATGCTTACATAATGAAACATGTAACATATAACTAGTTCTCAAACATTTTTAAAATACTTAATTCCCTACTGTGATGTATATATCCCAGTACTTCATGTTTTGGAACAATAAAAATGTAGGATGGGACATGATTTTGTTCTCTTGGATTTGACTTAAAGGGACAGTTTACAAAAAATACCATACTGTCATTCTGTGATTTACTCATCCATTACTTGTTTGAATTTGAAAGTTTGTTTCTTTGTTTTTGGTTGTGAACACAAAAGAAGAAAGAATGTTAGAAATTGGTAAACATTGACTTCCTTTGTTTTTTTCTTTACTATGGATGACAACGGTTTCTTATACGGTGGTCGAGAGAGCTTAACTGCAATTTAAGAAAACAGAAAATTAAGAAAAGATTTTCATCAGTTTGACAGCACACATGCTACAAATCCACAAAACGCAAACACATCTTTAAGAAACACACTGCATTTTCTCACAACACAAACATTTTACGAAAACATGCTGCATTTTCACACAACACAACAGAAAAGTTTCAAGAAGACCCTAAAATGTGACAGACCTGGCTATATAGGTTATGGTTATCTACGTAGGCTAATAAATACTAAAGACACAGGAATCAGGATATTAAAATAAACAACCAAAAAACTCACCTTTCAAAGATTTCTGACTACTTCACGTAGCAATAGTCATGACACAGCAGTGTCCATCATGTTTTGGGTCTACTTGAAACATTCCCATAGTCTGTTTTTTTGTGTTGTGAGAAAATGTAGTGCGTTTTTGTAAATTGTTTGCATTGTTAGAAAATGCAGCACATTTTATTCATTTGTTTATGTTGTGTGAAAATGCAGCACTCCTATTTTAATGTGTATGTGTTGTGAGGATTTGCAGCACTTGTGCTGTAAAACCGCTGAAAATCTTTTCTTAATTTGCATTTTTTGTGATTGCATGTTTTGTAAAATCGCAACACGTTAAGCTCTCTCGGCCGTAGTTAGTTTTGAAGATTCTTTATCTTCTTTGGTGATGACGTTTATTTGCACTGATGGTTTAATTAAGAGCTTTTAACGTCCTCAGAAGATTCTTCACACCTTGAAACAAAGGCTATTTTAAGAACTGTTCACTGAAAGATTCTATAAGCATCCCAAATATTTTACTCTGGACAACTAAACCAGTCTTGTGTTGTATGTAATGCAATAGTAAAAAAAAACATTGTATTGGTATTGTATGATAGACCTTTTATTAAACATTATACTATCAATTAAAAAGTCATGTTACGTAAAGATTTTTATACATATCCTATTTTAAATATCAAAACTCAATTTCTGATTAGGCTTTTTGTGCATTACTAAGCATTAGGTCCAATTTTAAACACAAGTTTCTCAGTATTTATTTTAAACCCTCAGATTCTCTATTTTCTAATAGTTGTATCTCAGAAAAAAAATAATATCTTCTCCTGTTCTTTAATGGATCTCAATTTCAAAAACTGACTTTTGTGGTCCAGGGTCACAAAGGCCTCTTCTATGGAACCTTCATTTTTAGAGTTTATTCTTTAGTAAACTTTAGCCGATGATTTTCTTAATAGCAATACTGCATGAAGGTGTTAGCATAGCAATAAACAGTTAATATTAAAAACCTGTACTATTGAGGAAGCATTAACACACCAATGTATTCTGATGTGTGAAACATACCCAATTTCTTCAGAATTTAAATCATGTTACTTCGTACAATCAGTGTGGGGCATCTTGAAAAACTGGAATCTATTCAGTTGAATGAGAAATCTATTCTATTATTGTAACATTTAAACTTCCCCATGACCTTTGACTTGTATGCTACGTTCACATACTATCAGAATTAACATGAATATGAGTTTCCTTGTCAAAAATTTACATCTGACATCGTATTCACTACTTGGAAACTCTCAGGTAATGTTGATAGGCTACTTGAGTTTCTGAATGCTGCATTTTGCTAGAACTTCTTTGTTAAGCTGCTTTGACACAATCTACATTGTAAAAGCATTATAGAAGTAAACATGAATTAAACATGATTTAATTTTTTTTCTATTCGACAATAATGCAGTTGAATGCGTCAGTGTTTATGCCTTGAATTCGGAGAAAGGCAAAATTCAAGGCATAAACATTCAACTTGGAAACAAGGAAACAAGTTCAACTTGACCAATAAAAGCTTTGCACCAAAATACCAGAAATGCTAACCAAAAAGGTTTTTTTAAAAATATATTTTATTGCAATAACAACAGGCAATTAAAACAGATAGAAATACAAACAGATAGAAGTAGTAAAAACAATACAAGTATTACTTTTTTTGCAACAAGAGAATGTGACAATTTTAAAGAAATATAACAATAGTAAAGCAAAAGAAAGACAATGAGAAAGAAAAAGAATAAACAAAAAAGATAAGTAAATAAGAGAGGGCACATGAAAAAAATATACAAATTAATGCAGAATATTAAATAAAGCACGTTTTATAAGTTAGAGACTCTGTAATGATTTTCAAGTACAGTTCCAATTCCAAGTCTCGTTTAAAAATACAAAATTTAGCTTATATTAAGTATATATACATATAAAAAAAAACTTTCCAATAAATAGGCTTATACAAAAAGTTGAATTAAGGAATTGCAGTTCTTTGATATAAAACCCTGAAATAATATGTTTGTAGCTTAAAGAAAAGTTACCTTTTGGACAATTAAAGAATTTACTTCAGACCAGAAATATTTAACAAAAAGACATTCCAAAAACAAGTGAGCAACAGACTTAGAAAAGTCTCACAGAAAGAGCAAAAGATGTCAATGTCATTTTTGATTTTCTGTAAAAAAAAAATGTTTAACTGGATATAATATATGAATACTTTTAAAAGATATTTCTTTAATTTTATTTCTTTAAAAAGAAATCATGGAGGAGTGACCAAACATGCGATCATTTAATATCATCAAAAGGTTGTTACAATAAGAAATAAAAGAGGGATTTGAGATGGCAATATCTAAAAATAAAGACCAGATTTTATGATTTTTTTTTTTATTTAATTAATTTTTTGTAGAAAAACAAATAGATCCAACAACAGTAGAATCAGGCATATGGGGACATACAGTAATCATTTAATTATCATTATTTCTAAAAAAACAACAACAAAAAAACACAAATCTCAGAGGAGATGGCCTAACAAATAATTAAAAACATTTTTTTAGATATGTGCAGGGCATATCCTAAATTAAGTAGCATTACTGTCAAATAACTGGTTCACTAATATCCCCCATTATTGAAACAGTTATTATAGAATTAAGATTTCCTTTATTACTATTGTTTCAAATTTAAAAAAATGTATGGTGAGAAATTGTGCTCATAAATAAGTTTCCACGCCTGAAGGAATTTCTGATGAAAATGGGAAAGTTTGATAGAAATTTTATTAATTGAGAAATTACACATTAATAGAAAGTCAATGCCTCCTAATTGAGAAAATACATTTTATTAATCCATGGATTACAGTGCAAATAGAAGGTTAATTGTGGAGAAAGCGTTTAAGCCTATTTATTTTTAGGTATTATATTAAGTGAATCACAATCTGTGAAGTTTAAGACACCCTTATATCCTGACCAAAAAGTGCTTATTTAAATGATTCAAGGTTTTATTTAGCATATTTACATTGAGTATTTAAACTACTTTCTCATCTGTCTAAAATAAAATCCCGTTGAAACACCCTTTATAACTTTTATAATTTGAAACACTAATAAAATAATATTCATAAGACATTGTCGATACTAACAAACGAACAATAAAAACCTTTTCCCAAAAGTACACTCGAGGAACCTGCGGCGAACATCGGTTTACGCAGCTGTGCACTGATTCACCTAATCGTTGATGCAAATGTCCAGCCTGCGTTTTGGAGCGCAGCCGTGACTCTGTAGTTCCCGCCCCTCCGCCTCAGTCCCAGCCTATTCGAGCAGATCATGAGGGCTCGCATTTGAACTGCTGCAGGCACCCAAAAACTTAACGTTACTATCACACCGAAGAACACAGGCAGAAAGAGCGGAAAGTCAGAGGAGCATGGGTTGTCACAACAGCAAAGTTTGTGGCCAGGTCTCCAAGAAAAAGGTAGATCGTTTTTAATTACATTTTCATTACCTACCTACATGTTGAAATAATACAAAGTTACAATGAGACTCGCAGCAAAGCCTCCAGCGTTTGAAACCCTGCAAAAACACCACGTGTAAATGTATTTGTATTCAGGGAGCCACACTTGTTTTGTTCTCTCGAATCACTTGTTACTTCCTCCCTAATGCGTTAAGTTAGTCGATGCGAAAGCTCTCCTGTTAGTTTGTCGACTTGTGAAAGTTTTAATTAGAAACAGATGCCGGGTTCAACAGATGAGATCTACTGTTGTTTAAAATGCGCCGCTGACATCCGTTATGACAAATTAAAGGCGTGTTATCCTGCATTTAAGTGTGATCACTAAGAGCTCACTTTTAAAATGTTCCGCATTTCGGTCAAATGACAAATCAGGATGTACGAAGTGATAAAAAGGTGAGATCTTCTGTAAAATGTAGTTTAAAACACGTTTGCCAGGTTATATAAACTCCCAGTGTTCGTGCAGGCTTCACTGAGCGAAAGTTGGATTTATATTTTCACATTCATTCATTTTGAAGTCATTTTGAATGGTTGGTCTGAAATAGCATGTATGACTTCAAAACAACACAAGCACTATTTGGTTGACTGTGAACAAGGATGTGCTTTCATTGTCATTGGCTGGTAATTTGGTTTCCCTGTTTAGAGTTGACAAACAATACTTTTGTGAAATTATATTACTAATGAAAAAATCTGAATTAAACAATAAAGTTGTCACAACCTGTCACGGTTTAAAAAAAGGAACGAAAGTGCCAGTATAAAACCAACTTTACCTCAGTGTTGGCTTCATACATTTTTGCAAGTATTTTAGCCTATATTTGCTTTACACATAGTATTATTTTTAATAAATATTTGCATATTTATACCACCTACACATTTAAAAAGACAGAAGTTAGTTCAATTATTAGTTTTTATTGCAAAGGTGTAAAATGGTTTAATTTAATAATAAATATTGATGTCATTGGACCAACAAGGCATTCACTTAAACCTCAAATTTGTCATTGCATGAGAAAATTCATTCATAAAATACATTCCTTTGGCTATCAAACATGGAGTGCAATGAAATCTGGCTTTGATAGCGACAGGGTCAAGCTTTCATTAGCCCAGATTGCTGAAGGATTTAGATTCACTGGGCTTGGATGTGACACACACACAGGGTCCCTACTGCCCAAGTTTCACACTACAAGTTTTAATGCGACCTATAAACAGACAGAGTTCATTTGGTCCTGTTAATCACATAGCCATGTGTTAGTATACTTGACATGGACAACTGGAGAAGTGTGAAAAGTCTCTGAAGACTAAACAGAGAAAGCCTTCCACTCGCTATTACAGCGTCTGTTGGAGTTGCATCAAAAGCGAATAACCACATGACGGTGAAGTGTAATAAAGCCAAGCCTTCATTAAAGTTCCAGAACATTTGGTTCCCTGCCACAGAGAGCCAGCAAATGCATAATAGACTTGTTGTGGATTAAGCTGTATTATGAGATGGAAGCGGTTCCTGTTCTGGCTTTTTATTCCCAACTAATTGTGAAAAGTAACCTAGTCTACTGAATTGTTTCACAATCTATCTAAAAATGCAGACCTTCAAGCTATGGACAGGATGACATCATTTGCTTTTGGTGCCTTTCAAACTGGAGATTACATCAAGAATAAATGTCGTGTTTTGGTTGGCTCGTGTCCTACACTGACACACAGCCATGCATGTCTTGTCATTTCCCATATAAGCAGTCTCATGTGGCACAGAGAAACGAATCTCACTATTTATTAACCAAGGAAGGTTTGACTATGTTTGACTGACTCCTGTTGTTCTTGACTGAAGCCAACACCCTCAATGAGCAGCTCAACCAAAAATGAAAATTCTGTCATCGCTTGCAAATTTCATGTTGTTGCACAATTCTGGATATACAGCTTCTTTTTTCGACTCTATTCCCCTTGATTCTTAATGCTAAATAAGGACTAAATAAAAATCAAATAATATATTTTCAGGTTGAATGATAATTGCTGCAGTTTATTAAAAATTAATTAATTTAAATTAATTAATTAAATTGTAACAAAATTGCTGGATAAATCAGTGTTTGAACCAACCTCTTGAAAAGATAATTACACAAAAACTGTATATATATTTTTTAAACAGTTGCTTGTCACAACCATCTACTGGCAGTAGACGTGCTATGGTGCTATTATTCAATAATTCCATATATTGCGACAGTGGGTATTCTCTAAGGCTGGGCTGATAAACGATATTATATCGAATCACAATAAAATGTATGTCAATAACAGTGATAAGCTCTGGACTTTTTAAAATCTATATTGGTCTAAGAGCCAATCACACAGCAGAAATATGCAACAATGGGAATGTAAAAGTGTGTTGATATTAGAGATGTATAGAATTTTCAGCTATTATGGTTGTGCCATTTAATGGACCATATCATTTTTGTGGCTTCAGTCATTGTTGGGGTACTCTTTTTAAATCTGGAAGCATTTACTTCTATCGGAATGTATATTGTTATCATTCAATGTGGAAAATAATTATCGAGATTTGCATTTTTTTCCTTATTGCCCATGTCTTGTATTCTCTGTACTTTACTTCTTAAACTGCTTTTACACAAAATATGACTTGACAATGAACGAGCGCAATATTAGTATCGTGAACCTTTCAAAATGTGAACAATTATTATTTAAATGTTTACTGCGCTTTAAGAATATTCAGATTGCATTTGCAGTGGTGTTTATAACAGTGGCATATCCTTTTAGATTTAAAATCATAACATTTTCATATGCTATTCAGGCCTATTATATGCTGAACTATTACTTCTGTGACTATAGGATAAGCATACTGTAGGATGATAACCGGTTTTAAGGTTTACATCGGTTTGGGAAAGTAAAGATTTTAAAACTGCAAAAAAAATTCTGTTATTTTGTTCTTAAGGTATCTGTATTTGTTTTAAATGTGTTTTTTATGTTTTGTAAATAAATCTGTGTTTTTAAAACTAATGAAGAGAGCAGAAGTCAATGATTATTTTAATTATTTAGCCTGACATGTTTACTGTTCCAAAATATTTTAAATGTTTCCTAAAATAAAGTATACTGTGTTCAATGCAGAATTTTATTTTACTTTTTATTCATTTAAAAAGAACACATTTTAGAGCAGTATTCACAATACTGTGAAACCCTGATATTTTTATCCAAGGTAATCATACTATACGAAACTTATACCGGTCCATGCCTACTAGAACAATTGTACATTAACACTGTGCAATAAGGTTCCAATAATTAACATTAGTTAATTTAACCGAACTCAAGGGTTTTTATTCATCTGATGTAGGGTTATGCGATTTGGGAAAAATATTTAATTGCAATTTTTTTACGTGTTTCAATCTGATTTGCGATTTAATTTTGTAATCCAGCTTTAGCTCAGTAATCTGTATCGTTGCTTCTTCCTGCTAAACTGCAGTGAGTGTTAGTTAAAAAAGGAACTGAATAGATATTAACTTACTTAAACATTGATTCAAATTTGATTTTAAATATTCCGAATGAAACACTAATTTTTTTTCTAAAGCCACAAACAAAATGACCTTACCTTTCTGTGAACAAGTTAAAGTTAAATGAGGGAGAAGGTTTAGGTTATTATAAAAATAAAAATAGTTATAATTATAATTATAAAAATGCAGAACACTTCGCAAACAAACATGGCTGAAACAACTCTGAAATTGTACATTGCTGTTGCTTGCTACTAGATTAAATGCTAGTTCGATACTTTCAGTTGACTTTTTAGCAAGACACCCCTTTGGGCGGGGGAAATTAAATAATACATATCATTTTCATATCGCAGCCTCTTACGAATTTAGCTAATCACAATTCAACATTTCAAAACAACAATTGCTTTGTCTGTCTGTCTGTCTGTCTTTCTGAATACATGAATAATTTATTATTATTTATTTGCTTTATTTTTGCACTCAAGATCATTTGTAAAGACATAAGCTTGATGCTATTGGTTTAATAGGTTATTATTGGATGAAAGCATGCCTTGGAATGTCATGATTGACCAACCAGATTTAAGAATTCCAGAGCCATATAATTAATTATAATAAAATCTTAATCATTTTGAAGCCATATGACTTGCATACTGCTGAGGCCATACAACATATTCTTTGTTTGCCCTCAGTATTTGTAGAGCTAAATATTCTGATGTCAAAAACCCGATACTAACTTGATGTAGTAAAGGCAGGCCTTGCTCTCAGAGGAGAGACATTTTGCACTTGTGAGTGTTTGTGTGTAGGCTGTGTGCGTGTGTGTGTGTGTGTGTGTGGGTTATATCTCAGCAGACTTTTGGCACATATGCCTCAAAACGTTAAATCACCTGTGAACTGCTGCAGCCCTGAGCGCCTGTCTTCAAACATTCACACTGGAACGGCACATTCTTTACTCCCTTTGGATACATGAAGTGTTCTTCCTGAATTCCAGTGCTTGTTAAATGTGTGGGGAGAACATGCTAATAAACCCAACAGTAGGCTTAGCTTAGCATTAACTAAAATCTTTATATACTACCAGGCCGTTCAAGTTTGGGGTCAGGAAGATGAGCATAGACTCTGAAGAAATTAGTTCTTTGTTCGGCAAGATGCAGAAGTTTCAGTAAAGATATTTATAATGTTGCAAATTTTTCTATTAAAAAAAGCTATAAGATATATTTCAAGATCTTAGGCTACCCAAACATTTTCAAGTAAGACTGCAAAAAAAGAAAAAAAATGCAGTCATTGTTCAGTTTAAAGGTAAGAAAATATATAAAAATACAATTTCTTTTATTTCAGTTTAGCATTTGTGTGTTACTTTTAATTACAATTCATATTTTAAATGCTGAATGAAATCTATTGTTTGTGGTGTCGCAAAATACATCAATTACAGTCATACTTTTTCATTATTTCAATGATCAGTCTGGATGCAGTCAGGAGTATGAGAATAAACATAAAAAAAGTTTCTTGCTTAAAGGCAATGTTTACATTTTGCATTTTATTTATTAATATTATATGTTGGGCCTGTAATATCATTTTTTATAAGATGTTTTATGTTTCGAGAACATTTCTTTTATATTTCAACACTCTAAATCAAACAGTTGCACAGAAGTTTAACATAAAGTGACGAAAAATAGAAATATATATGATTAAGTACATATTTGAGCATATACTTAATGACAAAAAGAAAGGAACGGAAAATTCCCTTCATGTTGTCAATGTTATCTGATTGAATATATTGTGATGTGCATTAGGGCCGCTCAATACATTGTTTCAGCATCGATATCGCAATGTGCTCATCAACAATAGTCACGCTGCAGGATATGCAATGTGGAGCCTGAATCATAAATGACCAGGAGCTACAGAACACATGTGATTTGTAGTCACTGCTAAGTTTAACCATAGTTAAAAGTTAAAGGGTAGATTGTTTTTAAGACCTGTGAATGTGCATTTTAAGAGAATTTAAACTATTTTGGCAGAAAAAATATGATGTTTGTAGGTGTTACAAGGATTAATTGTATTTAATTGTTTAAAACAATACTAATAAAATAAATAATTTATATGATTTAAGCAAGAAAAAAATCTTCTTACTAAGAATTTTGTCTTCATTCTAGTCCAAATATCAACATTTCAAAGTGAAAACAAGATACCATCCTCATTGGCAGATATGTTAGCTTGTTTTAAGGAAAAACACATAATTTTGACTTCGGAAGGTGAAAATAAAACCATTTTTACTTGATCTAGGTATTTTTAGATATTTGGACTAAAAACAAGACATGGCAAAGGAAGAGCGTTTTTTTTTTTTTTTTTTATGTGATTTTTCATTTTTTTAAATATTGTTAATCTCCCCAGAAAACCATCAAATAGATCTATTTAAACCATCTTGTGAAACTCTCTTCATTTAGGCTAGGTTTTTTCCAACATTGTGCAGCCCTAATATGTATCATTATCAGGATATGAGAAAACTTGTATCGTTATCTGAGATTTTTCTTTCGTCGCCCAGCCTGAAATGATAAAAAGCTGCTTAAAAAGCCCTTTATTAAAACCTTTATTATTATGGCCTTATTTATTATGATCAGTCCAGATTAAGAAGTGACTTTGTGTGTAATATGAAATGTTTATAATTTAGCGGTCCACAAGTTAGTGAGGTTTCAATTTTACTACTTACAGAGAAATACAAGTCTTGAACGTGTGCTGTGTGTGGTTTGTCGATGATGTCATGATTGTGCAATCTTGAGTACATATCTCACCGGTAACGTAAGGCTTTGGAATTCAACAAATATCAATTTATATGACACTCCTATGAGAGGGTTGCACATGTAGATGTTTATCAGCCAAATTCTGATTGATTGATTTATTGTCTAGAGGCTTCATCTTCAGTGCGTTTTTACAATGTTTTTCTTTCTTTTCATGCAGAAGAAAAATAAAGCACAAGAAGGTGAGAAACACACAAAGGACATCAAACTGCAAGATGGAAGTGGTAAGTGGTTTCTCTGAATCGTGTCATGTGAACATGTCTGTGCTTAGCAGATGTTGTCAACTGTAGATAAACTAAAGTATTAAAGGGCGGAATTTATGTAGAATATTATATAGTGCTAATATAATACAGTATATTTAATAATACATGAGGGATTGTTGCTTTTTTTAATAAATTGAATAATGTGACTGTATATTCCCCAAACTATTTTCTAATAATATGTTAAATTATTTAACACATGTTGACTATATACAAAAATTTATATTCAAATACAGGATATCGTTTTTCACATAATATATTTCTTAACAATATTTCATCACCTTAGAATTATAAGGTTCTATCTGACATTTTTTTGTCAAAATTGAGTTATTGACATATATTCTTATTAAATGACAACTTACTTACATTATGGAATGTTTTTTGTTGTTGTTTTGCCAAGTTTCAAATGTTTTGCAAAGTTGTTTGCATTTTAAGACTTTTTATTTTAAAAACAAATGTTACACACATACTGTATGCTATATGGAAGCTCAATCTCAAAGTCATTAGCAGATAGAACCTTAGAATTCCATGGGGACGATTTTTCTAATAAATAAATGATCAATATTAAGCAGTTGACAGTATGTTGAAAATACACAGCATATATTTTGTTAAAATAATAGATTATATTGAATAATTCTCAAGCAATTGGTGCTTTTCATATATTGAATATTATAAATACTTATAATAAAATAAAATATACTTTATTTAAATATATAAAATGATAAACGTTTTAAAAGATAAACATTATTTCTTAAATGAATTGCTTGTATTATATTACATTTATTGAATGTTGAAAAATACAGATTTAATATTGCGTTATTATAATACATTCACTTATACACTTCATGTTATATAGATGTTATTTAGTTGTAAAATATAGTTTTTCTTACTGTTGCCATGACTTTACATTTAATAAACACCTTTTTCACTTAATAACACCTCACACATTTTCATATATAACAGTTTATAAATGTGTGCAACTTAAATAGTGTCAACATATAGCCTTATATATATATATATATATATATATATATATATATTAGCGATGTCAAAATTAACGCGTTAACGCATGCGATTAATTTTAAATAATTAACGCGTTAAAAAAATTTACGCAATTAACGCAGTTCAGGTTTTTTTTACTTCCTGTTGTGGTGGACGTGTGTTCAACATGCAATAAATGTGGATAAGACCAAGGAAGCACTTTTTTAAGGCAAGTTCCAGTATAAAACAATTAGTTGCATCACAGGTTATCCAGAGTTTTATGCAATTTCGGGTGTTTCATTTTTAACTTTCGACATCTGTTGTAAGTTGATACCACATGGCGAACAGAAAGAAAATCCTCCGCATTTCGTGACTCGGTGTTCCTTTAAGGTAAGGTTCCTTTTAAGGCTACACGGTAGAATTTTAATAAGAGTATTATCTTAATCATATTAAAATCGGCCTATTGGTGTCTTATGTGAATGTACTCAGAACGTCTGGTGAAGTCGCGAGCTGTCAAAGACAGGGCATTACTCTGCCTTTCAGCATGAGCCCTCCAAGTTTAGCGTGTTTCCTCATTAAACGCAACGAAAGCGTATGCTTCGCGTTGTTGTGTCAGAATCCTTGTGAAATACAGTAATACTTTAGGACGCTTAGTTTAGGATGCTTAGCAAATTTGATGGACGTGATCATGCGTGTTGAATCTGAGGGGAGTCGCTCCAGTATGGAAGGCCGTTGGGACCAAAACGTCTGCAGCGCGTTGTGTGTGTCTTTCTGTGTGTGTGTCTGTGTCAGGCCCGTTGAGGGGTGTCAGGGGTGAAGTGAGCGACGTATCTGAGTAGGGGCGAGAGGGGTGTGCAATGTATTTAACGACCGGTTTGCAAAAAATTATCATTCATTTGCGGGCATTTGGGAGTCTCTGTGCACTTGCGGGATACTCATAGTCTTAGCAACTGGATGAATGTAAAGGAGGATTAAGCAAAATTGTTTCTACTCTATAATTAATGTTCTCAACTCACAGCAATAAAACTTTACAATGAGTGCAACAGTTTGTATTCCATAGTTTATTATTATAATTTTTCATTTTCCATATCTGCAATTCCTGTATTTTGGCATTTTTTTTTGCAGTCCACTTAGAATCCAACATGGAAATCAATGTTTTCTTTATTGGCATTGATTGTTTTGACATGTAAATGTCATTAACATGCGTGTGTTTTAATTTCTGTAATAAATATGGCTGTCAAGCTAGGATCTTGATGGTTTATTGTGGGTATGTTGTTTACATGAAAAAATCTGTGTTACAAGTTAAACAAAAATTCTATTAAACAATAATATTTTGAATTTAAATATTTCTTTCATGCGTTTACATCAATTTTACATTTTAAATAGGCAGAATTCCAAGTTTCAGTATTTTAAATGCGATTAATCGCGATTAATTTTTTTAAAAATGTGCGATTAATTAGTAATTTTTTTAATCGATTGACAGCACTAATATATATATATATATATATATATATATATATATAT